AAGACGGTACAATTCGCACCACCAACCTATGTTGAGGCATCCGACTATGACTACTCCTCCGACGAGGGCGAGGGTGAACTTTTTGGAGGCCCCGAGCCTAAAGAGATGCAACAACAACAGCAACAAGCCACAGCACAGACCGGTGATTCGTCTCAGGACGAGGGTCTGCAAGTGCAGCCGCTCAAAGTTAACGGGGCAAGAAAAGACGCAAATGGTCAAGCCGAGGGCGATGCACGACGCTCCAGTGATGACTCTAACAAACAAGACGGACAAAGAGGGAGCGAAGACAACCTGGATCGCCCGCTGGATCCCAAAGTATCACGTAACGGTACTCTCCGCAACACCGACTCTTTCTTCAAGGACGACAATACCGAAACACGCAAGATTACACTTACACCCAACATACTTCGCGATGACTCGACCCCCTCAAGTAATGGTTCTCGAGAACGCGGTCCAAGTCTAGAGAGTTTGGAGAAGAACGGTTTTGCAGACAAGGTGAAAGATGAGAAGAGGAAGAAGGAGAAAAAATCCGGTATGCTTAGCGGACTGTTCAAGCGCAAGGACAAGAAGGGCAAAGGCCCGCAGGACTCCATTGACAGCGATGTCGATAAGGCAGAGGAGGTGGATCGCAGCTCACCGCAGTCGAAACCCTCGGACGAACTTGTAGAGCGGCCATCCAACGAGCAAGTGACAGCACCTGCACCCTTGAGACAGTCAAGCAAGAACAAAGCGCATAAGCGCCCGAATCACCGAGACGACTCACCGATAAAGACAAAGGGCATCTTGAAGACTGAAAGTCCTACAGATATGGATGCGGATGATGATATGGATGCTGAAGACGAGCCAACTACCCAGCAAGCCACCTCATCCATGCGCCTGGTACCGCCAGAAAAAGAGGATGAAGATCAACCGGCAGCTGAGGAGCAGGCTGCACCATCTGTCTCGGCTTCGAACTCTACAGCCTCAAAGAACCCCTTCAGCGGCATGATCAAGTCTCAACCTGATGGAGAAGTGAAGCGCGAAAAGGTCACAAAAGCCAAGCAACGTGTACAGTTGGACGATTTCGATTCGGATGAGAGCAGCGATCCCTTTGCGGACCCCGACGCTGAACGTAAGACTAGAGAAGCCGAGCAATCGGAATCGACTGAGCGTCTCTCAGAATCACCAGTACATGTCTCTGTTGCCGACGTACAAGCAGCTCAGAAAGAAAACGTGGCAGACAGAGACAGAGAGATGGACTCTCACCATACCCCGGGCCTATCTACAGACAGCTCAAGTCAAGAAACCAACTCGCCGATATCGACCCCAACACCCGATGACAGTCCCACGAAAACCACCCAGGAGGGTATTAATGCCCCACGGTCTAACTCTGGGAATACCTCGCCTACACATGTCACGTCCAACTCCACTATTCCCCCCCCTTCGAGGCCCGCTCCCATTCCTGTTGAAGAATCAGAGCCTTCTCCACCTGCTTCTTCAGAGAGCACGATACTTCCCGCTTGGTCTGACGCTTCACTGCGCGCCTACCTCGACGACGGTAGCGAAATTCGAGACATGCTCGTGGTCATCAACGATACTACAGGCGTCGTGCCAGTTGGCCCCGACCATCCCCTTATGAAGGATTACCTCGCCGAGGAAATGAAGACAATGCAAAGCTTGAGTGGCGAGCTCGACCGCTTGCTGAACGGATTAATGGAGAAGTCCATGAAAAGAGCGGGGAGTGCAGCTAGTAAAGCTAGCACGACGCGCAGTACCAGCGCCAATGGTAGATTGAGCGCAGGGGCAATGTTTTGAAGGAGTAAAGGCTGGTCCGGAGTCATTCATCATTGTTAGTATACCCGAAGGACTGGATTTTCTTTCTTACTTTTTTCTCCTTTACCGGCGCTGTCTTCGAGACCTGGGACACATCATGTGGGATGATTTCGGAATTCAATCGGGGTTTCTGGTTTGGGTTTGTACGCTTTTTTTTCACTATGTCCCCTCCCCTTTTCCCGTTCTTGCACCTCTATTCTGGTTCCGCCTTTTTTTTGTCTTTCTATTTACGGGGCTGAGGAATTATTCTATCTGGACGTGCTACCCAGAGTTTTGTTTTTTCTACTTTGATTTTCTTTTTGTGTCCTCTAATCCTTCCCTCTGGTTGACTGTATGGTCAAGGTGGGCTTGGGATTGTAAGACTATTCATTACATGATCACATCTCCAATACCCCTTTTTTCTTTTCTTCTCCAATTCTTTGGATATGTTTGCGGCACTCGCTTATCTTCCTTTCTTTTTTGTCTGGCTGTCTATCTTGGTTCGCGTGGGGGCTGTTGACTTGTGGCGGTATGCTTCCTTTCCCCACTTCGTATTGTGTAGCATTGAACATTCTTCCTCCCTCCTGTGGAGGCGAGAGAAGCAACCCTGGAAATACATGCTTTTGATCCCGAGACTTTGCTTAGATATGCCAATGGTGACTGTGATATTGATACTGGCAGGAAGTAATATTTTTCAGTGTATGCTTATTTGCAGGCTATACTGTTGATTTTCTGAGAAGCGATTAGATAACTTCTTACGCTGGCCCCTACTAAAGAAGATAAAACCAACTCAAGTCATAGCCATTACGCGTATTCCCACATGTAGATATCATTACACATCCACATCCTCCTTCCGCAACACCTTGACCGGCTTCTCATCCAACGCCGCCTCCTCCGCCTCACGAATACCCAAACTCTGCGCAATATGAAACAGCCTCATCTTCTCCTCATGCGCCGTACTATCCCCAAACACCGCGTCCATCTCCTCCAGACTCTTGCCCCTCGTCTCAGGGATACAAAACCACGTAAACACAAACGCAACCAGTGCAAACCCCGCAAAGAAAATGTACGTGCCAAACCCAATACTATCCAGCATATCCGGCGTCACGAGCCCGATGATAAAATTACACATCCACGTCGCAGAGGTGGTTAGCGACATAGCCTTTGAGCGGTTTCCGATGTTGTAGATTTCAGAGGGGAGGACCCAGCCGATGGGCGCCCAGGAGTAGGAGAAATTGATGTCGTAGATGTAGATGAAGGCGATGCCTGTCCAGCCTGCGGCGGGATGCGAAGAGAGAGCTGAGCCGTAGCCCCCGATGACGCCGCCGACGATTAGCAGCGAGATGCAGGTTCCGGCTGCGCCGCAGAGGAGGAGGGGGCGGCGGCCGAGTTTGTCGATGAGGAAGAGGGCGGGGAGGGTGGATATTGTGTTTACTGTTTAACTTGTTAGTGAAAAACCCCTTTTTCATGTTTGTCCGAAAGTGCTTGAGATGGAGGGTGAAATTTACCGATTCCATAAACACCAGTTGCCAACAACCCCGTTGTCTTTCCTGACAACCCCAACTGAGCAAAGATCGTCGGTGCGTAGTAGATAATCGCATTACAACCGATGAATTGTTGGAAGAACATGACGCAGCAGCCGATAGCTGTGCGCTTGAAGGAGGGCCAGGTGGAGAAGAGGGTTGAGTAGCCGGCTAGGTAGAGCGACACCCCTGACTTGCCTGGGAACTTTTCCCGAGCGTACGTCTCTTCGAACATGACTTCTGCTTTGATGGATAGATACTCTTTCTGTACTTCTTCTTCGTCGGGACTGGTACGTCGTACTCGTGCGAGGGCGCGGAGACCCGCATCTTCGTTGTCGCGCTTGCAGTAGTATCGCGGTGACTCAGGGAAGAACAACATGCCGATTCCAAGCACGAGACCAGGGAAGATCTGGATGGCAAAGGGGACACGCCACGAGGCGTCGCTCTGGCCGGTGCAACCCTCCGGACCTACGTCGTTGATGGGATGGAAACTGGGTTTCGAGGCTGTGCCGCCCGTATAAGGGATGTCTGGCGCGCATCGTGTCCCGCCAATGTACTGAGTCCCGTACTCGAGCCAGTAGGAGACAAGGATACCGAGGGTGATGGATAGTTGCTGTAAGACGACGAGTGTGCCTCGGATACCTGCTGTGGAGACTTCACTCATGTACATCGGGACAATCATGGTGAGCATGCCGACTGAGAACCCGGCAATTGCTCGGCCTATGGATATTTTGATTGGTTTTTCATACATGTATCGAGATGGAGTGTTACGTACCAGCAAAAGCCATTGGAATATCTATAGCACCCGCCTGGAGCGCAGACCCAATGGTGAAGATGACAACGGCGATTATAATTGAGCCCTTGCGCCCAAAGCGATCTGCCACTGGGCCGTTCACGAGCGAGCCGAACCAAGCAGCGAGTAGCAGGGTCGATACGAACCATCCCTTGAATGAACTGTCAAGAGCAATTCTTGGAAACGCCGCAGCGAACGACTCCATTGTAAGGACACCAGAAATTACACCTTGGTCATAGCCGAAGAGGAAGCCACCGAGTGAGGCAAACTGAAAGTTTTAGTCAAAATCTTGGATTTAGACAAAAGGTGTCTTACAGCTGATAGGCCGAGGAGGTATGGGTTCTGTCGTAATTCCTTGTACACACTCTTCTTCTGGGCAGCCCCCGAGTCGACTGCATATCCTGTGTCCGACATATTCGCAAGCTTACTGGCTCTGCGTCAATTGACTTGTTTGAAGGAATTCAGGACACAAAGCACATGGATCATCGCAGCACTTGATCGCCCATATATGTACATGTTCATCATCGAAAGACCTTGGAATATCACAAAAGGCACCACCAGTCACACGACTTCGGATCACAATGCTCCGACCATACAGCAACACCAAATCTGCTCCACTGACATGCAATGCAATGCAGTTCTGTCTGAAATTTTCCCCGCATGGAGAGAATTACTTGATTCATATGTTAAAACTGGGGATCGAACATGACTTGCGCTCGGACTACTATGCTCCGAACCCCACAAGAAGCATATCTTGCAAAGAACAGGTTCGTGTGACGTTGATGCTTCGATCATTTTGACCCAACGTTTGCAATTAACACATCTCACCCAATCTCCTTGCGACTTTCTATCTTTTCACTTAACAGTCCATCAATCCATTCTAGCCTCAGGAGATGACGAACGATACTTGTGTGGATAAGCTTCCTGCAGCTATCCTAGACTTGGTCAAGCGCACGGAAAAGCTCCTCGCTCGCCAAGCCTCTAACCCCAGTCAACGCATGCTCGTTGCGCTTGCGGGTGTGCCAGGAGCGGGCAAGTCAACAGTATCCGATGCGCTCTTAATCGAGTTAGCGGCGCGAGGCATCAAAGATGTTGCCATAGTGCCAATGGTAAGTAGCATTCGCAGCAAGCGTCAGGGGTTCTGACGACATCAGGACGGGTTCCACTATACTCGCGAGGTTTTGTCGACTTTTGCAGATGCAGATGTAGCATTCAAGAGACGCGGTGCTCCCTTCACTTTTGATGCAGAAGGATGCGTCAAGCTCGTGAAGTCGCTCAAGACTGCACCCGTCACTACAGATGGCGAAGAAGACTTGTGCATAAGTGCACCAACCTTTGATCATGCAGCCAAAGATCCAGTCGAGAATGGAATCAGCATATCTTCCCGCACACGCCTCGTCATCGTCGAGGGCAACTACACACTGTTGAAACAGAAGCCATGGGATGAAATTGCAGAGATCTGCGACGAGAGGCGCGTAATTGCTCTTCGTTGACGCCATAGACCCTGACTGACATTGTATAGGTGGTTTGTAGATGCACCTGTGGAAGTCGTTCGTGATCGCTTAGCCCAGCGTCACCTCGCTGCTGGAATTGAATCTTCAAAAGCGGCAGCCATTGCCAGAGCTGAAGAGAATGACATCCCCAACGGCGAGTTGATACGGTCATTGCTCATCGAACCAGACGTGATCATTAAGAATTGATAAGGATGTTAGATCCAAGCGCAAGCTGGAGGCTAAAGGAGGCTAATACTCTAGAACTGCGTAGTGGACAAGTCCCAGTCGAAAGAGGTAAACAGCTCGTTGGACTCCACAGACCATGGGAAAGTACTCAAAGCTTCTTTATCCAGCTCAACGTTTTGGAGCGTACCCGAACTGAAGTCATCAACGGATACAACCTGGTCAAGAATAGCGACGCATCTTGCTGAGAGTGAATCTGTAACGAGATGTTCACGGAACGTCTTCCTGGCTAGCCGCACATCTTCGAGCCAGGTGGGCATTTCTTTGGCACTTGGGAAGCTGATTATGCAGAGCGTGATGACTAAAGCGGAATGGAAGAGGAAATATCTATAACAGCCAATTAGTTCTCAACCCTTGTTGCAATTGATATCCTATACTTACGTTGCGTACCATCCTTCTAATCTGCTCGGTTCACTCATTGTGTACTGGTGTATCGAAGTGACAGTAGAGTGCGCAGCATCCAAACAAAGCCGCTTACATTCGTCTTGAGCTGATTGCGTTGCTTCGTCAGGAATCTGGCTGCGCTCTGCAATTGCACGACGAAGCAGGATTTGTCGAAAGACGATGATTTTGAGGTTCCAGAACCTCCACCATAGTCGCGACCTTGCAAAGACATACCATCGGGCTGGCATATATGGTGGATGTGACAACTGAAAGTACAAGGGTACCATATGCGCCCATGCTTCTATGGTAGTGTTAAATGCAAGTGCTGCTTCAGCTGACAGACTAGGTTCAGCTAACAATCTATTTGTGATGTGGTTGGTATGCATGTGAAAGCTACTCTGTTCACGAAGTGCAGAATAAATTGTTGGCGTATCAAGTTCAACGGGGAGCTGAGTAGTTTGAGGAGTGAGTGCCTGGCTCTTGTCAACTGCGTGCCACTCGTCTTTGACCCTATTGGATACTTTACCTCGTCATTTATGTTTAGGGCGGGGTGTACGCTCATGGAATCTTGATCAGGTAACATGACTGCTCGTCCGAAAGTTGTAGACGCTCCGCTGTCGAACACGTACAAGCCCCACCAGACTCTGCGTCTCGACTCGCGTTCGATTAGGCTGATGTTCCAATGTGGAAGCTCTCGGTGAAGAGCTAGACTCAGCGCGGTGCGCACTGCGAGACCTAGCAGATTCCATCCTGTGTTTGGGCTGTTACGTTTCTGGCTAAGATTACTCAGCAATACAAGTGCTTGGACGGATGACAGGCTGGCGGCTTCAAACACCGATTCATCCTGGCCAACCGCGAGGGCTCGACGATACAGATAATCTTCGAGGCCGACTTGATCATTATTCACAGTCCACGCACCAAGGGCTATAATCGCGTGGTACAGCATGTCCCAAGATCTTTTCGGTGGCCGAGGAACCACCTCGTAATACTGCGCGCGAAATGTTGCCTCATGAATGAATGGGTACACAACATGATAGTTGAGGAAGTATGCGTCAATGAGGCTGCCCGCAAGCTGCTTGACGAGAGCAGAATGCGAGACATGCGATGAGGCCATGACTTTTCTGAAAGATGAAGACGTTTCCACGGCATGTTTCTGAGGTGGTGCTCCAGTTTGATGTAGAAACCCAGCCCAATCTAGCAAGCAACGCAGAAATACGACACCAGAAGTTGAACCTGAATCACGTTAGTGCCATATACTTTTGTCGACGTAGGTAAGCTAACCTAGATATCCTACTCCTGTTGGCTCTACTGAAAGGGCAGCCATGCCATCGGTTAACCCGTCTATATTGACGTCTTCTTCTTTCCAATTAAATCCATCAACATCGTTCGGCACAGCTTCAGGAAGAGGAGGTTCATTTGAGTTAGATTTAGTGCTGCCCTGAGGGCTGAGCGCGGCTTCTGGTGTTCGTGACTGGAGAATCTGTGAGGTTGGGATGGCTGCGTTGGGAGAAGAAAGGAGCTCTTCGATATCGACGCCCGGTACCAGCTGAGCGACCAGCGCTTCCAGACTGTGTAGCCGTTTCTCTACGCTCGTAAGGTATGCCCTGGTCAGTGGCGATCTGATGATCTTGCCACTGTAATGGCATTGCGCGCCGCTGTGGGCACAGGCAGTGCAGAAGGGTGATTCTTTAGAGCATTTGAGCTTTTTTGCACGACAGCGGTCGCACGACAGGGCATCCTTTGGTCTTCGGTGCTCCATGCATGAGACGAGTTTAGTGTGGAAGAGGTGGGGACAGATGGAATTGCAGAGAGAATCGGAGCACCGAACAGCAACGCGTCCGCTGATCTCTACGACAATCGGACCGACGGGATGTGCCACTTACAGCCACTTACAGCCACGCTAGCCACCCCACCTCTGGGCATTTCAACATACGCCTTTGAATGGTGAATGTATCAACACAACAGTAGTTTGAAGGGGAAACCCTTAGCGACTGGGAGAATAAGAAATGGGTTGAAGCCATACATTCAAATGGTCACCAAGAGCCAAGCCTTCCATTCGCAACACTTCCGCCATAGCCACTTCTCTCAACTAGCTTGAAAAAGACTTAGCTTAGTTGAGCCCCCTGATTAGAGCTTCGAAAACTTGGAATTGTACTTAATTCTGTGTAAGACATTCATAATGAGTCAAATGCAACGCTTGTCGTTACTATTTTAGGTAATGAGAAGGGCATGGCCGAGTGCCACCACCTAAAAGGGGTTCTCTTTCAACGCCACGTGGGCTAGATGGGTCTAGCCTGTCAACCTTGCCACCCGCAATTGCATGAAATGCTACGGCTCGCAATCTATCCTGAATTGGCAAAATTTCGACTTGTAAGATATGTGACCTATATAGATGGAGGGAAATCTACGTCCTAATCCGCCCATATAAGAGGGAGTGTGGAGTGCTTTTCCTTTCTTTCCATATCTCGACCAGTTCCCTCATCATCCAGTGAAATTGACTCTAACTTTCTACTGATTTCATTCATATAACAAAACCACTCAACACGATGGGAAACGCAATTTCCGATATGTTGAAGGAGGCGGATGAGAAGAAGGAGACTGACGCCAAAGAAGAATTAGAAATTTTGCAAGAGATGATCAACGCAGTCCTAGACAGATTTGAGAGTGAGATCACAGAGTGAGCATAGGCTGCCTCAAGCCCAAAGGGTTCAATTGCTCATGAGTTGATGTTAGGAAATTCTTGAATGCAGAGCCTACAGCGAAGACTGAAGTTCCCGGGATCCCTCCCCTTTGGAAAAAAACGTTTCTCAGCAGGCAAGATTCTAGATAAAGTATGTTATTGGTCTAGATAACTTCTTCACTCAGTACTGATATGTGGTCTCTTTGTAGCCCGCAGATGCAGTTGGTGGTGCTATCGATGCCATTTTTGGAGCTGTCACGGGAGGCGGTACGAAAGAGAAACTGGCCAATGGATTCAAGGTATGACTTGGCTTAATAAACTCATGACTTAGCTAAACTCTTGGGGTCTAGAAGGTTGTAGGGACTGCACTGAACCAGTTCCTCAGCAATACGGAGATCGGCGTCACAGATACAAATAACTACTTCATTTATGTGCACCATGACGCAATCGTTCGCATCGATCTCAGAGTGAGTCACAATCAGCTACTGAAAAACATTTTTGTTAACAATGGTAGATGTGGCGATGGAATTTTCCTAGTGGAGGCTTCAAGATTGTTGATAAAGGTGTCCTAGGATGTAAGTGTTCAAATTTTTCCATTTCATAGTGCACACGACTGACCAATTGGACAAGACATCTACTGTATTTCAGTAGTTGATGTTGGCGTTCTGAAGATTCCAGAGTTTGTTTACCTCATAAGTGAACACGCTGGTAAGGCCATCCGCAAGTCAATCAACCAGCTGCTAATCTGAACCCCTAGGAGACGAAGAGAACGAAGTCGAGCATTACTGCGAGCAAATGGGTAAGATATATGCCGCCGCACGCAAAAAGAAACTGAGCGAAAAGGCCGCCATCACGACGAAATAGTATTAATAAAGTGGCACTGTCCTTCTTGTACATGGATAATGTTAAATTGTATCAAAATCTTGACCATTGTATTAACCCGCAGTCGAATTATGGCTTTATTGATCCTTTAAAAATTGCTTGTCTTTATATCTCCTTGCCAAATGAACACTACAGTTGAACAGCTGTGGCCGCGACCAAGACGTCCATATACAAGTCTCTCTCTCTCTCTCTCTCTCAAAATGGTAATTCCACCGGCCCAAACTGCTTTACCACAGCACTGAGACGCGCGACAATTGCCGTATTGCCTGCGCCTACCAGGTCCTTGGCATCTAAACTAAATAGTCGGTGTATAGCAGACTCCTGTATCCTCCTCTACGTTGTGTCCAATAGCAATGACTAGGAACAGGCTGGAGACGACGAGGCTGCCTAGTGGAAGCGATTTGGAGCAAAGGAATGGGACGACTTAGAGATAACATGACGTCGATGCGAGGCGCTACCTCTCGCCAGCGGTTAAACTACTACAAATTGGTGACCTTAACGCACATAACCAGATGAATGAGCACACTGCGGAACTAGAAAGCCTAAAAAAAACTTATTCTATACAATACATCCATGATATGAAAGAAAAAGCCCGGTATCGGTGGCCACATCTAGCGTACACTGCACATGCAGAAAGTCCGGGGTTAGCGTCGGCAATTCTCCAACGCCTCAACGTACCCACAACGCCATCACGCCATCCTTTTCCTTCTTTTCCCCATCATACTCTGAATCCCAAGCTTGAGAAATCCCATTCAAACCGTCTACCGATATATGCATGTCAATGCCCATTAAGCCATTACACCATGACCAACATCTCAACTTGGCCGTGTGGGGATCCGATTACCTAGCGCCAAAAAGTACTGCTTCACAACCAACAAAAAAAAGACATGATGATATATGATATATCGTGCATCCATGCATGACAACAATTGAAATTTGATTTCCCTATCTTTTCAAACAAGAATAAACAAAAAATAAATAAATCCACAATGTCACAAACCACCACAACCGGTGTATCCACCGCCGAAACCACCACCCTCCCCACCACAATGCGCGCCTGGCAATGGACAACCTGCACCACAACCCTCGAATCCGCACTCCAAATCAACAACTCAGCCCCACTCCCAACATCCCACTGCCCCTTATCCTCCGGCGAATCCCTAATCCGCGTGTACGCCGCAACTCTCAACCAAGTCGACTACAAATTCGCCGAACTCCCCCTAATCCCACGCCTCGCCATCCGCAAACCCGCAACTCCCGGTCTCGACTTTGCGGGCCGCGTCGTATCCACGGGCCCGGACTGCGGCGTCAAAGTGGGCGAGATGGTGTTCGGGAAGTTGGAGCCTAAATGCCAGTTTGGGACGCTGGGGGAGTACGTTGTGGGATCGAGGGTGGGTACGGTTCCGGTGCCTGAAGGGGTGGGGGTGGAGAGTGCGGCGGCGATGGGGGTGTGTGGGTTGGTTACTTATCAGAGTCTTGCGAGGAATGTGAAGAGTGGGGATCGAGTGTTGGTTAATGGGGGGTCTGGGGGGACGGGCACGTTTGCGGTGCAGATTGCGAAGGCACTGGGGTGTCATGTTACGGTGACTTGTTCGGGTATGTATGCGCGGTGTGAAGATGAGGCTATGGTGGGAATGTGCTAATGTTTGACAGGTGCGAATGTGCAGCTTTGCAAGGATCTGGGCGCGGATGAAGTGATTGATTATAGGAAGAACGATGTCGCTTCTGTTCTTGCGAGTGGGTCCAAGCAATATGACATGATTCTTGATAATGTTGGGCATCCGTCAGAACTGTATTGGAAAGCTCCAGAGTTCACGAAGCCAGGGGCAAAGTACGTACAAGTTGGATCGCAAGTCAGTCTATCATTCCTCTACGACCTCGCATTCCGGTTTTTGGTTCCGACATGGCTGGGTGGTGGCCAGCGCCCGTTTTCGTTTGGGTTCGCCTTGACGAACTTTGACGACTTTACTGCGCTGGGAAAGCTAGTGGCGAGCGGAAAGGTGAAGCCAGTGATAGATGAGGTGTATGAGTTTGAAGATGTACCGAAGGCGTACGGAAAGTTGAGAACGGGTAGGGCAAGGGGGAAAATAGTGGTGAGAATGGGAAACGAAGAGAAATACTGAATAATGAGATGGTCGTAAAAGCCAAGTGCCTTTGAATTCACAAATGCTGGGAGCACTTCCGGGAAAAGTAGCACAACTCATGTCCATTGCATTGCTTCGCACTGGTGTGTGATGTGATAAAACGAAGAGAAAAGACCTCTCGTCCTCTTCTTACCAAAAAAAAGTTCAACACAAAACATACGTTCTTTTCCTTCTTTTCTCAACAAGCCCTATTAACGCCAAAAGCGCCCATACACATACATGTGTCCTACCCATTAGGATCGCTAGTGCATCTTCGCTCTCCTCGCCTTGCCTGGCCGTTTGCTAGCGCCACCACCGCTGCTGGGCTTACCCTTCATTTTGCGAACAGAGAAACCCCGGCCATCAGCGCTAGACTGTGCATCGTTGCTCTTAGAATGCCTCTTCTTGCCTCCGAAACCGTATTTTGCATCTTTCTTCTGGCGCTTGGCGTTAAAGGCTTTACCATCGGCGCCACCGCGGCCGGCGCGACGGTCAGACTTGGAGTCCTCAGCTGTGGCGGCGACGTCAAAGAGGTCTTCTTCGTTGGTGGAGGTAATGTCTGCGCCTTGTCGCTCTGTCATATTTGTTAGTGTATACATCTTTGCAGGTGGACTCGAAAACGTACTTCGCTTGAGGGTGTTAATCTTGTCCATGGTATCCCGCTTTTCCTTTGCGCGCTCCTGCATCTTCGCGACCTGGACCTGCTTGCCAAACTTCTTCAAGTCTCTCTGCTTGCGCGCCTCAGCAGCCGCCTTCTTGCCAGCCGCGGCATCAATCAGCTTCTGCTTGATCTTGCCCATGTGTTCGTCGCTCTTGACCATCTCCGCAAAATAATCTGCGGGTCGTGAAAAAGGCACACCCTCCTTCTTGAGCTTTTGTCGCGCCTCCTTGACAGAGGACAGGCACTGCTTGTAGAATGCGAGCTCGCGGTTGAGGTCATCTTCAACATCGGGAATCTCAACGGGCTCATCCGTGGTTACAGATTGGTGTTCTGAGAAGGCGAGCTTCGAGTAAGGCAATTGTATGCGGTGCAGGGCGGCGGTGAGGGCGGCGGTGTTGTTGATTGTGAGTCGTTGATGGGGGATGATGTCGCCCTTGTCTTCCGAGGCGATGGAGTCGAGATCTGAAAGCGCAATGTCTTCTTCGTCGTCGTCATCATCGTCATCCTCGTCCTCTTCATCCTCGTCCTCGCCTTCTTCGTCATCCTCAGCCTGCATCTCCTCCTCATCCGAGCTAATGTCGCTCTCGCTGTCGTCGAGGTGCGAAAGGTCGACCGCAGGTCGCTCAGACTCCTCGTCGTCATCGCTCTCATCCTCGCTACCCTCCGTCTCCCACTCAACCTCTTTGACGGCGGGCGCAGTCTTTGGCGACTTGCCTTCCTTCTTGTCCTTCTTCTCCTTCTTTGCCTTGCCATTGACCTTGACCTCTACCTCATCCAGCGGCACTCCTCCCTCCTCGTCATCCTCATGCGCTTCATCCCCATCGCGCTTCTGTTTCCGCTTCTGCACCTGTTTCTCATGCTTGCGCTGCTTCTCAAGCTTAATATTGCGCCCTTGCTGGTGAATAAGCGCAGTCTTGAGCTTGCTTTTCCCCATGCTTGTCGTATTTTTTGCGCGCAATAAGACAAACTATCAAAAAAAAGTGTTGTAATGTCGAAAAGTGAAGTTGCAATTCCTGGGAGGCGCGGAAACAAAAAACGTTAGTGTCCAAGCTTTCCCAAAATTTCACAATTCCACAAGTTTGCCCAAAGGGCAGAAAACCAGCAATTTTTAGCGTTACGCGCTAGTGATGCTCACCGCCTTGACAAAATAGGAAACTGACCGCGGCGTCCGAATAACGAAACACGTGCTTTCGTGTTGTGCCCCCCCTTCACACCGCCCGCCGCCCGCACCACCCGTAACACGCGACATCGATTACAAGTCCATAGTTCACCAAAAAAAAACCCCACACTACTTCAAACCACCCATATACACTTTTCTTTATAAAGCAACTCACACCATGGCAACCCCCCAACCCCTAGGCGACCGCTCCCAAAGCGACACCGCAGTACGTCTTCCCTTCCCTTCCCCCACCCAACCATATCCGTACATCCCCTCCCAAACTAACAAAGTCCTATCTTAGTCCGTCTCCTCAAACAACCCCGAAGCATCAGGCGAACTCACAGCAGTCGTAGACGACCTGCTCAACCAACTGAATACCAAATTCAACTCGATAAGTAGCGAGTTGCTTTCAAAAAGTAAGTATGAAACCCCCCAAAGAAGATAGACATTTCCCTGTTGTTTTGAAAAACGAACGATGTGAGTGGCATGGAGAGCTAATGATTTTTTGTTTATTTGTAATTTTTTAGTGGATGATATGTCAAGACGACTTGATAATCTCGAGGCTACGATTCAGAGTGGGGATGGGAGTAAAGGGAGTGGATCGGGGAAATGAGATGGGGTTGGGTATTGACTGGAGAGTTTACGAGTATCAACGGGCGGGTTCTCACGGCTTATATGTTTGTTGGAGTTTAGAAGGTTCGATAACATGCATTTACAACGCTTGCAAATTGATATTCAGTTTGATATATCTACAAACTAGCTTATCTATGTCTCTTCTTGTCATTTCCTTGTAGCGCTCTTGCACCACGTGTGTTCTTATCCTGTTTATCATAACGCATCTACGCCAATGGTATCAACATCTCCCCAACGTCATACACCACTACACAAGACGAGTCGTCTACAACTCAGTCTTCTCTTCCTCACCAATGAACTTCTTCAGGATGTTGCTCCTGCTCATCAAGTCATCCATCTTCTCAGGTGCGAGGTTGCCCTTGGCAATGAGGCCTTGCAGACGCTTGAGCTCCTTCTCAGCGTACTCCTTGTTGGCACCAATCTTCGAGAAGACCTTGACGTAGTATTGTGCGTACTTGTCCTGCAGGGTAGCAGCAAGAGTCTTGGCCTCCTCGGCTCCATCGGCCCATGAGTCCTTGAACTTCTCAATGACGGCGTTGAAGGCCTCGATAGTGCCACCAGTAGCATCGAGACCTCCACCGACAGCACGGTGAGTGCCAGCGTTGGCGTTGAGGAAATCGATAAAGTCCTTCTCATCGCGAGCACCATTGTATGGGAGAGCCTCGGTAGAGCCCTTGGCAAAGTACTTGATGGTAGGGTAGCCAGAGACACCTTGTTCCTGAGCAAGGGCCTTGGAGTTCTCAGCTTCGGCGTCGACCTTGGCGATCAAGACATCGGGCTCGTTGACGAAGTCGTTGGCGAGAGTCTCCCAAACGGGGGCGAGGGTCTTGCAGTCTGTATGCACGTCAGCAAAGGACAACTTGACAGATTGGAAGCATAAAACGTACGTCCGCACCATGGAGCAGTAAAGGCAACAAGCACATTCTGGTCCTTTCCAACCTTCTCCTTGAAGCTCTTGTCATCAAGGTACACAACCTGGCTGGGAAGCTTGGCCTTGATCTTGGGCTTGATGGAAGTGTTCTCAGTAATGAACTTGCTCAAGCTCTCCAGATCACGTCCGCCCTTGTAATCGACAGGCTTGTCGGTCTTTCCATCAAACCACTTGAGGGTGGGGAAACCTGAGACGCCATAGCGCTTGCCGAGCGACTTGTGGTTATCCGCGTCAACCTTTGCAACGCTGACCTTGTCACCGGCGTGCTGGAAGACGGTGGCGAGTTCCTCATAGACGGGGGCAAGGTTCTTGCAGTGACCGCACCAGGGGGCAAAGAACTCTACGAGGGCGGGCTTGCCGGACTTGAGGACAACATCATCGAAGTTGGAGGGGTTGAGGTCAATGACGGCCTCTGCCGAAGCAATGGCGGGGAGCAGCGCAAGTACCGCGGGTATGAGGTTGCGGAACAACATTGTAGGGGTTTGAGAGGAGGAAGCTCAAAACGGTGCAATTGGGAGCTCCAAACTTATGTTGAAGAGCGGTGGGGAACACGGAGTCGAGCTAGAGGGCTTGCCTCCAGGGTCCTGCGCTGGCGATCGCTTAGCACGCAAGGTGTCCTCTCTTACCCAGCCATCTGACCAGGGTTTACAAATCCACCGTCACTGCAACGAATGGTTTGATTTCAAATCTTGCCACACAAAGCAATTGCTGATCCTGGTCTTGGATGTGGGTATGGACACGTGAAAAATAGTTACTGTATGGATACCATAGGCTATTCTCTTCCATACAGAGAGCTACTAGCCACCCCGCATCCCAACTAGAGTACTGTATGTATACCGAACCCATCAAAATGCAAAAATAGATTATACTTATATTCTCAATTCGGGGGTATCATCACACGACACTAATTCAACGACATCTTCCAATGATTTCCTCCCGTCATCCCATAACTCCCACTGACCGTCTTCTCTTCTTCTTCCTCCTTCACATTCTCCGTCGCCTTCTTTGCCTCCTCAGCCTTCTTCGTCTTCTCTTCCATCGCTTTAACCTCCCCACCGGCCTTCTCCACCATCGCCTTCAACCCCCTCACATCCGCACCCCTAACCTCCTCCACCTTCTTCCCGTCCTTGAATAGCATAAATGTCGGCATAGCCGTGACGCCATATTGCCCCGCTATTTCGCGCTGTTCATCGACATTGATCTTAACGAAAGCAAACTTTCCAGACACAGAGTGTGTGTTTGAGAATTGATTGTAGACGGGCGCGATTTGTTTGCAAGGTGGACACCAGGTTGCGTAGAAGTCTGCGATGAGGTAGGTGTGGGCGTTTAGGAGGGTGCGGAAGTGGAGGGGAGCGGAGATTTCTGTTGGCATGGTTGTCTTGGGTGTTCAAATGCTTCTTTTTAATGTAATACTGGAATATGTTTGTGGAGTTGGGCTGGGTAGGTTGGGAGCAGGTTGGTTTGAAGTCGTGACTTTTTTTTAAAAAGTTGCAATGTTGTAGAACATTCTATCCGTACTGAGCAAAGGACCTTCTCGCCGGCCCCAAATTTGTAATCGACGCAAACATCACGTGTCGCCATACTTGCTTCTTGTGGTAGTCGGTGATAGTAATAAGTAGAGTTCTGATTACACAAAGTGTATTTGCACATTAGTCACATACGCCCGGAAATGACTTTCATATCACATGTATCCCGCAAAACAGCGCACCCATTCTGCTGCACGCGACCTTGAAATCGAACATACGTATATTCGACACACGCTCTACAAGGACCAAAAAATATCCAGAAACCACAAATGCAGTCCAGCCCACAACGCCCTCGCTATGCAAACATTTCATCACGCATACCCATCCATCTCATACCGCCACTCATCCCCCACCCCTGCCCAAGATCTCCTCCCTCTCCAGCACCTCCGGCTTAAACTTGATCAAAAACACCGTCTTCCCAGGCCAAAGCCCCTTCCCATCCTTACCCTCCTCCTCGCCTACACTATGCGCCGTGACACCCTCAGTCGGGAACCCCGCACCGTCACACACGCCCTCGATAATGCCCGCCACAAACGCCGCGCAGTTGAGACTCGACAGCTCCTTTGGTAGCGAAATGTACTGGTTGACCATGGGCTCGTTATCGAACAGCATATACTGTCCTGGGTCTGTGCCCGACTTTTCGAGGGCGTCGGCGGGGCGGCCAAACAGGTAGCGGTACAGTTGTTGAGCAATAAATTGGAGGAGCGGCAGGATGCGCGTGGGGCGGATCGAGGCGAGGGGGTTAGCGGTGCGGGAGAGGAGGAGGTCAAGGAGACGGAGGCCGATGGGGTAGCCTTGGCTGTTTAGTCTAAAGCGATGTTAGCATAGCCATGTCCTGTATGTATGCAGATAGAGAAGGCGTGGGGTTTGCGCGCAATGAGAAATGTACCTTTGCTCCAAGCCACCCACGTCTTTTGCGCCCTTTTGCGCATAGGCAATCATTTCGATGAAGAGGTATGCAAAAGCTGCGCGGCTGAGCTCTGCATTCTTGCTCCGGTTCAGGTTGCGGTCGTATATCGTCTTCTTGTTCGAGGGGTACCGTAGGCCCGACCCTTGACTGGGCGTCCCGTTCATGGCGAGGTTGTGGCCTGGCGGCGGCAATTGAACTGCGGACTGCGGGCGGGCCGTGGATGCAGACGGGGATGCAGATGCGGATCTGGCTAGGGCGGCAGATTGCGAGTAGGAGCGTTCGCGCGGCGTGAAGTGCGAGGGCAGAAGTGGTAGCAAGTTGGACATGGTTGGCTCTCTCGACCTCGCCGGAGTGGTTTGGCGGAGCAATGTGGGTCGGAGGGTCGTGCGGCGTGCGTCAGACTGCAACTGACTTGGGAGCGATTATGAGGCTGGAGATGCCAAGCATGAGGACGACGACAGTTGTACATATATCATCGTCCTTCCCTTGGAGGAGTTGCAACTGAAAAACGGGCCGAATGTATCCACAAGTATCGAATACGAGTTTCTGGAGTATTACACATTATTTGATTATCATCATTACCATCATCATCATCATCTTCTAGAAGCGGTGAACAACTACTCGGCGCTTCCCAATGCCCCTGTAGATACATACACCTCTTCATCATGACATGCTTTCGTATAACGACAGGGAGCCTCCAAAGCACGCCTGGAGTGCTGACCGTCATTCCCCACCTCTCTCTCGATATAGCCATTCAGTCCATTGAGCATATCCTCGGACACCACCTTCACATTCCTCTTCTTCTGTGAGAACCCACAAGAAAAACCTAACCACTCTTCTTTCCAAGCCCACGCCATTCTTTGTACCATTACTCGATATCTACAGTCCAGTCTATCTGGCGCTGGTTCAACTCCACGATGATGCGCTGAACGTCGACACGTCGAACCTCACATTCAATCGGGACCACAACAACAGTATTATCCGGATCGATAGCAGCATCACGCATGTGCGGAACGCCAGACTGCTCTGTTTCAAGCTCTGCGCGAAGAACTTCATTCAGTTTCTTTTGTTCCTGCATCGCAGCCAGAGTATCATCGCGTTCCTTCTTCATTTTGCGTTGAGATGCGAGATGGCGTTGCTTGGCTTCCATCGCTTCTTTCGCTTTTTCCTCCTCTTTACTGACAGCTTGCTTAGCATTCTTCACCTTTGTGTTTGCACCTTTGAGTTTGTTAGCCTTGCTCTCGTTGAGTGCCAAGGAGGACATTCTCGCGCTCAGTCATCTTTTGCGTCTCCTTCGGTTGAGCGTTCTCTGCACGCAGGCGTACCGTTTCGCTTTCCAGGCGATTAATGCCGCGCTGGATGTCGCGAGGGAGCTTCGAGTAACCTCTATCTCTGGATGTCCGCTGATCCAGTTCTGCAATGGTCTTGCCATGCTCTTCAGCTTGTGCCTTCCAATAATCATACTGTTTACTGAGATGTGCAATGGTGGATCGAAGACGCCTCTGTTCGCTCGCTCCTTCTTCCAGCTCCTCGTCGTTCATGTCCGCCGCCCGCAATGATTCTCCATGTTTGGCTTCAGAGACTTCATGCCTGTATGGGTAGGCCGTCAAGTTGTCCAGGCACAAGTCAGCGGGTTCAAAGAAAAGCATGTCTAGATTGAAACTCATCTGTCACTAGTTAGTATTAGTGGATCATGGACCATTGATGATACCGTACCGTGAGTTGCAGCCAAGTTAGTAGAGTCAATGCTGCAGGTTGCAGTGAGAAGAAACCAATGTGGATGAAGTGAGATATATACGTAATGGGACAGCGCACCAACCGTACATTCATCGCAAAATCAACTAGCTCGTCTTTCACTGCGTCGCCCGCTTGGCAGAACTCCACCTCTACTTAACGCAAGGCTGTACAGGAAATGAGACATTATGATGATCAGGACAGTCCAGGCAGTACATTGAAGCGCGGAGCTCAGCAGAACCGTATTCGTAGCGATTTACCCACCCATAAGCTCGACTGCATACCTCTGCTTCATTCTAGAGCACCCAGTCTGTCTATTACGCGTACGAGGTCTTTCACTCGGAATGGTTTGGAGATTGCGTCATCCATCCCGGCCTCCGTAGCACGCTTCAGCTGCTCAGGTCTTGCGTTTGCAGTGACAGCAACTATTTGAAGGTGTTTGTTGATCTGTCCATTGTTTTGCGCGGTGCGTATCATCTTTGCACATTGGAGACCGTCCATGACAGGCATTTCAACGTCCATAAGAATGACATCGATGCATGAATCTGAGGCAGTGGTACCTGGATACGCCTTCCAGTGTCGTGAAGTCTTGATAAAGTCAAAGGCCTTCTGTCCATTGTCTGCCGTGTGAACAATATAGCCGTGTTGTTGTAGCTGCTTCTTCAAGACGCGTTGATTGACCATGTTATCTTCAACAAGAAGAACACTCAACTGTCGTTTGTCTCGAGACTCGCGGCTTTGTGGACCGACAGGATGTCGAGAGGTATTACTAGCTTCTGTGGGCCTACTGGGTGAGGTAGGAACAATAAGAGCAGATTCCGGTGAAACTGCTCGCGAAGCTTTAGCATAAAAGGCGAAAGTTGATCCTGCATTTTCTTGCGATGCGAAACCAATCTCTCCACCTTGCAGAGCTACGAGTTTTCGGCTAATGAAAAGTCCCAACCCAGAACCGCCATACTTGCTGTATGTTTTGGGGGAAGCTTGTATGAACCGCGAGAAGATACGTTTCATGGAAGCAGAGTCCATACCACAGCCTGTGTCCTTCACGCTACACCATAGATAGAGCTCCTGCCCATTTGCTGCTATAGCTGCCTTGGCCTCTTCTTTTTGCGAAGAGCTTGGAGATGCTACCATCATCAAGTCGGCGAATATATCTGTCGGGCGAGAAGAGGAAGCGCCAACACGGAGAGTAACATTTCTAGTTTTGGGGCTATCTTTTGTGAATTTGATAGCATTGGCAACCAAGTTTACGAGAACCTGCATGATTCTGCCTGGATCTGCTTCGATCCAGTCAACCCCGAGCTGAGTGAGAGAGGGATCGGGTGTTATTGTGAATGTGACACCAGCCTGTGTAGCTTCGAACCTGAACGTGCTCTCGACTTGCTCGAGAAAGGTCTTCACTTGGAACGCCGAGGGACATATCTCTAGGAGGTTGGAGTCGAGCTTTGAGATGGAGAGAATGTCGTCAATGATTCGCTTTTGATGTACTGTGCAAGCCATGATAGTGTCGGCAGCTTCAATCATGCTGCTCGTACATTCTTGAAGTCGTTTCGTGGTCGTTTTGTGGTCTACGTCACGCGCATTTTGACGGCTTGTGCGGTCGAGTATCAATTTCATTTCGGAAAGCGAATGCGACAAAGCGTCTGCACAGTGCATAACGGCACCTAGAGGATTTCGAATCTACGACGTGTTAGACGATAATTTTCACTTGACCAGATAGAAATACGTGCCTCATGACTAGTCATATCGACAAAACTACGCTAGGTTAGTTGACTAACACACCCTTGGATAGAAGAGCACTTACTTTTCTTGCTGTCGCTTGGATTCAATAGCCTCCTCGAGCTTTGCACGCTGAAGAAGCTCAGAGTACTTGAATTCGCTGATGTCGGTAATTGTAGTCGTTGTTTGGAGAGAGCCATCGTCTACCATGTCTGGAAAGGCGGCAAATTGCACCCACGTGTGCTCCGAGTAATTGGGCGCTCCTTTGCGAAGACTTTTCAACCGAATGTGAAAGCTCTCAGGCTTTCGAAATTTGAAAACATTTTCCAGGCGTGCATCAAACTCCGAAACATCCTCAGGGAAAACAATGGAGCGAAGTTGAATACTCTTTACTGGCGTTGAAGGATGACCCGTCATCTGAAACCAGGCCTTGTTGACAAAAGAGGGCTTTCCTTTCTCGTCAAACACCAGAACGCCGATATTCGCATTTTCAATGAAGTTCAAAAGACGCGATTTGTTCAGCCGAACTTGGTCCGAGGCCCCAGCAGCATCGGCAGTGGCCTCATATTCGATCTTTTGTTGAACGTCGAGGGCTGCTACACAACCTGTAATGCTTACAACCCCAAGTGCATTATCAAGCATAGGAACACAGGCTATCTGTATCCATTTTCTTTCACAGCCATGAGGCCGAAACCTTACTGCGAGTGTTGTTGACCGGCCATCCACCAAGGATTGCCAATGGGATGTTAGAAGTGGCTGATCATCTTGCTCGCAAAGCTCCATTAACATTGTCTGATACCGTACATCAACGTCTCTGGAACAACCACTCAAATTACAAAACGCTTCCTATTTGCCGTTAGTATACGCATTTTGACTCGCTTTCTTTTCTCACATTAGTTTGCGTCAGCTTTCCTGACAGGGTACATTCGAAAAAACCGATACTTTTGCTAAAAGGTCAGCACAGCTCATGCCTATGATGCGGAAGACTAACCTGGCAGCTTCGATTACTTGCAACATGCGCTGCATCTTGCCTGTCGCCAACACAGCCTCTTGTTGCCTCAATTGCATTTCCTTTGCCAGCATCTCCTTCTCTTTTGCTATCAGATTTTGGTCGTTTTCTTTCGCAAGCCTCCTAGTCTCGGCAATTGTAATTGCTGCTACACTGCTGCAAAAATGTTGATGCAGCGTCCCCACCCATGCCTGATAAGAAGAATCATAAGGACACCGTGGTGCCAGTCCAAGGATCAATACAGCGTAAACGTTTCCGGATTTGCCCATGATACTAGGTAGAATGACTGCCTGGTGAGAATCATCGCCATAGCACCGGTCCCTAGATGCATGGCACATCTCTGATGGCAAAGATCCGTCTGTTGCATGAAGGAGCTCAGGAACACGCAAATCAACGGCTTTGTAGATAGTCTTAACCCATGCCTGATTCTCGCCGCGCTTGATCCTTGGTGGGAGCGGTGTTGTGAAGGAGCCGACAGTGCCAGCAAGTTTGAATTCGTCGGTGCTAATCTCATTCGATATGAATCCGGTCTCATGTTCACGTACGAGCTTACTGTCGGCAAAGTATATGGCCGCAAACGATATATCACCATTACCATTCGATATACCACGCAATGTTGAAGCCCACAAGGCATTCAGATCTGTGGCATCTTTGGAAGCACGACGAATGTGATCTAGCGACCGCTCACGACGACGCTGCAGCACTTCCTGGGTCGTGTCGTAAGCTGTGACGTGGTACCCATCCAAGGATAATGGTAATTTTACCATTGTCGCTCTGAGAAAAACCTCCTGGAGAATGCCATGCTGTGGGAAGAAGCAGGGTATTTGGTTTTCGTTGTCCAAGCCGGACCCGTCATTTTCTGGCTGTGTGAGTCTTGGTATTGCGGGACCATGCCCAACCATTGCAGTGTTGAGGGCTATTGGTCTGCCTTGGTACAGCGGGTGATAATCGCGGAGCAACCTGCCATATGCTGTGTTGTACAATATGGTCGAATCACGGCCTAATAGGAATATTTGGGGCTGGGGGCTGAGCATGGCCAGGTTGATGAGCACCAGTAATTCGCGAGGCCATTCTGCAATGGGTCCAGGAGCGGTATCGGCCCAGTTGAGCTCGCGTATGTACTGAAGGTCGGAGTCAATAGCGGAATCCCCGGTCGGTTCAGTGAGGAACGACAGGTGAGATTTAGCACCTGCATGTTCAGCAGTCTCCAGCTCCGTCGACATGGTTGTGTTGACGGATACGCGACGTCAAAAATACCCCGTGGAAGCTGGGAAGTGGGTAGGATGGGGGCTGTTATCAGGGCAGACAGCCTCTGATGGCTGGAAGAACGAAGAGGTCAGCAGGCAGCGAGACAGACACCTCCAGGTCCTCTATACCAGCAAGACCATGCGAACAAATGGCTCTCGGTCAGTTCTCGGTGAAGTCCGTCCTGGATGCGGTGGGTAGCCGATGGCCGCATCTAAATTGCCGCCCACGCACCCTGGTTGGGGGAGCTTGACACCGACGCTTGAGACATGACCGCAGTTGGCCCGCGTGAATCACCGGCCATCGACAAAGGGTCGCGTGTAGTGTTTGGAACTATAGCGTTGCTAGTCGCGGGTACCTGGAAAATTTTGAACCGGCGATTTCGAGAAGATTGACCAGCGGCACTGGCGAACTAGTCGAGGGTTGCTAGTGTACACGGCGTGTGTGTAAACTCGTGTCTGCTAGCTGGAGCATTGTACATGTTGAAGGAGGCAGAGGCTGTAGTACTGCCGACACAGCCGCTCGATTGTGTCATGATTCGCTGCAGGGACAAATACCCCCGTCCTCGCTTGGCGTCTGGAATGACGAAAAACGCGTGTAGTTCGCCACTCGATGACGTCGGCCTGGACGGGACAGCCTTCGCATCCTGACTAGCTCCCGTTATTAGGCATTTTTTCTCCTGACTTTGGTTCGAGTAAGCATTAGCGGAATCCATGACGAGACGCAGACTTGCTCGCAGCTTCGCTCAACAGCTGCAATTTCCGTTGCCTTTGCTGTACGCCGACGTGGTGGTCGTCTGTTGTCTGGACAACGCCGGCTCCTGGCGGTAGCCCCCATGTCGATCTTGTCGAGTATCAGTGTACGTACATGTACATGCATGGCATGGCAAGTGTTATTTAACTCCGTTGACATGCGTTATTTGACACGGCGGCTTCCTATACAACTCTAGCGCTTATGTTAGTGCAATAACATATCCACTGTTGTATTCTATCTTTTCATGGCTAGTCTATGATACTCTTCTCTCGCACAGAGTATCTGCGCACCTTCGCGTCGCAGTAAAGATAATGAGTATTCTGTGAGAATATCCGTTATTTATATGGTATACTATTACTTGTATATCTTGTCAGACTTTCAAGTCTGTCTCTATAATATCTACTACGGTGTAAAGGTATGAAAATGCAAGGAAATGTTATCTTCTTTATGCAGAAGTCAAGATTGAAAACCGTTTTAAACCAATCTATTTTGGGATACGACGGGGTCCAATAGCCCAAATCAGCGAGGCCAAGTGCCTTCCGCCGCATGGCATGTGAACAAGGGCTACTGTACTGAAAATTGCATAGGTAATAAGTCGACCACGAACTCGGCGAAGATGTGCACAATGTCTGGTATTATAGGACAGCCAACGCTATAATACTGTGCAGGCTGACACCACCTTCACGAAGGTGATATCTTCGAGATGATTCGGAAGGTCAACGTCCGCGTCCAACGGTACTTGGCAACGTTAGAACCAAACCGGGGGTAGCCTCATCAACACGTGCTGCAAGGACAGCGATATAAGTACGTAGTGTGTACATGTGGACTACGTATGCACGGGGTGATGGGGTTATGTTATCAAAACGGAGTTGGTGCCACATAGGTCACAGCTCAACAGGGGTTACTGTTGTTGACCTCGCCCGCTTTGAGAATCGGATCGACCCCTCAGACCCCACAAAAGATCACCGTTTCTCTGAGCCGATTTCTAGCCATGCATGGCGCGATACAACCAGACCTCCCATCGAGCAAACTTTATTGGTTGCTATACGCGGCGGTTGTATGGTGTTGCACTGTGCTTTTAAAATTGTTCAGGTTTCAATAGATACTCACAGCCATTACATGAAAAGCCATTCCAGAAGTACGATGGAGCAATCTCCTGAATCTCCATACTCTGTTCGCCCAGTGCAGTTGTCGCCTATGATGATTTGCATAGTGCTGACCGGCAATTGACCCGGAAAAGAAAAGTCGGCGAGAAAAGAAACACTTTTGTCATCGTGCATGCTTCACGTCTTGCCTGGAAAGAAACTAACGAAATTGATATGGGCAATAGGTTGAATTCTCGGATTGATTGCTAGCCAGCAAGTCTCTAAAATCGGTATCTTGAACAAGGTGCAATGCCGAAAGGAGAGTCGTGGAGCGCCAAACATTCCGAATAGCTGCATCGAAGCTGTTGTCGGAACGCTGACCACATTACCGGAATATTCTTCTTCTATACGACAACATAGCCTTTACTTACTTTGGTATTCGATAATAGCGCTGCTCAGGACCCTGTATGTCAACCTACAGTCTACCTGTAGCTTCTCAGTAATCCTCTCCATACCTTCTGCATCGATTCAGATTCCGGAGCACACGGCGTATGGCGCATTTCAAGTCCGCACCGGAACCTCTTGGCACGTGATATACGATCGTTAAGGGCCATGTCGTTGCGTTTCCAATACGGACTTCGGAGTCGGTTGTTCCGTGATCATTGCGCTCGTTGCCTTTGTGCTTGCTGAAAGAAATCAATGCAAAATCAAATCAAGTACCAAGCGTCCCCCCAGATACCACTCGAACTACTATATTTCAGACGACAATACGTTGACAACAATGCTAAGCAATCACTTGTTCACGCTACGTCATCATACGAAAAACAACAACAATAGCAAGGATGGGACCAGGTACGTCAGTCTGCCTCAAGAAATTTCATCTGGAAGGGATGGACTTATATTATCTGAGAAAGTAGTGCATTGCACTATACACAATGGCGTGAGCTGGTGTGAGGGCTGAGAATCAACCCTGTCCCGTCACCGTCTGACGTCAAACGTACCTGCCCTCAACGACCACAAACAGCAAGTTGATCAACTCCATGAAGCACAACCGCTCCCTTTAGGCCGCATTTCTATGGGAGATATCGTATAGCTAGTTAGTGCATGGGCACTCGGAGACAAGGAGCAAAATCCAGGAGCCCAGTGTTGCGGATTACTCAAGCTAGTAAACCCACAATTTCCCCCCGCCCCCGCAAAGAGGTCAGCGCGGCCCCCCGTCTCGTCTCCACCTCACTTCCTTCCGAATAGCTGGATGCGGTGCACACGATGCCGGATCAAGGGCAATTTTCCCCTGTGGAGCGTGCTTATCCCAAAGCGCTTCCTTCAATCCCGTATCCAATGCCCAATGAGCTGACGAACGGGAAATAGATCCCGGACCTACCCATATGGCATGACTTGTCTCTCGCGGGGTATAACTCGTGCCACAGGGTAAGTACAGCGCGCATCTCCCGCCAACGAGCGGAACCGAGGCTAACTAGTGCTTTTGATAGTATACAAGAAGGCGAGGCAAGGACACCAAATGTCTGCCATTGAAAGCGCCTTCGCGACTGCGATTGTTGATCAAGAGACACACGACACGAACCAACTGGGATCAGGGTCTGGAACCAGTACACCTAGCACGGGACTAGAGCAATGCGCGCAGCACGATACTACGGAAAAGAGGATATTCGGATTGAGGATGTGGAGCAGCAGGGGTGTGGAACGGGGCAAGTCAGAGTAACGTCTTCCCCTTCTTCCGATGGTGTTGTAATAATGGACGAGGAGAACAATGTCTGATATGTGTGCAGATTGCCCCGGCCTACGTAGGCATCTGCGGTTCAGATCTCCATGAGTATCTCGGTGGACCTACATTTGCACCAACAGAGCCTCACCCATGTACCAAAGACACGATTCCCATCACCCTCGGCCACGAGTTCTCAGGCGTTGTCACAGAAGTGGGGTCACCCGACTCTGCCTTCTCGGTAGGCCAAAACGTGTGTATCCAACCAACGATATACTGCGGAGCGTGCGAAGCATGTAAAGCAGGCTGCGAAAACGTCTGTGTTAATGGTGGCTTCATCGGACTATCCGGCGGTGGCGGCGGCCTAAGCGACTCGGTCGTCGTACCCGAAGGTGCAGTCTTGCATCTGCCACCCAACATTCCTCTGGATGTAGGCGCGCTAGTTGAGCCTTTGAGCGTAGCCTGGCATGCCGTATCCGCCGCACCAGTAACTCACGATTCGACCGCGTTGATCCTAGGTGGCGGCCCCATCGGCCTCGCCATCGTCCAATGCCTCCTCGCCAAAGGTGTGGGCAAGATTATCGTCAGCGAAATATCCGGCACCCGCCAGCGGTTTGCAAGAGAATTCGGGGCGCATCACGTCTTGTGTCCCAAGACGTACGACGTTGTCAAGATGAGCAAGACTCTCAATAATGGGGCTGGTCCAGATGTGGTTTTTGACTGCGCGGGGGTCCCGGCTAGTCTCACGACTGCGTGTACGGCTGTGCGACCGCGGGGTACAGTTGTTAATGTGGCTATTTGGGAAAAGGAAGTGCCGTTTAATCCCAATTTGCTGGTTGCACGCGAAGCAAAGTATACAGCTGTGTTGGGGTATCGACGGGAAGATTTTCAGGCTGTGCTGGATTTGCTGGCTTCCGGTGAGTTTTCGAGAGGTGGATTTGTGTTTGGCGCAGGTTATTAACGTGTTTTTGTGCAGGCAAGTTGAAACCGAGTAAGATGATTACGAGAAAGATACAGTTGGATGATTTGGTGGAGAAAGGTATCAAGGCTCTTATCCATGATAAGGAGAATCAGGTCAAAATTTTGGTCGAGGTTGGGGCGATGGGCCGGGTTGATTCTGCTATACATTGACGGGGGGTTGTGTTGTCTGGTGGTCTAAACATTTTTTTTGTGTCGGTAGAAAACACATGACTAGGTTGGGGAAATGTTATCTTCACACAGTATCTTTTTTTTATTTTAGAATATCCCGCATCTAGTCCATGCATATATCCCGATATACTTCTGTACGGCTACAAATGACATTCTGATCGTCACGCTACCACCCCACCGTCCTTTACCTCGTTGAGCCTAGCCTGCCCCCATATCGCCAACAACATGACACTACGCTGCGGCTGTAACCAAGCCACCGTGCTGCATCTGGCTTCGCGCGGGTGCCCAGCTGGGACGCCTTAAGAGCTGAATTGGGGGGAAGGGGGGGGGAGGGG